TTGGTTGGTCGTGGGCCTTGAACTCTGGACCTGGGCACTGTCCCTCAGCTCTTCAGCTCAAGGCGAACGCTCTACCACTTAAGCTACACTTCTGGTTTTCTGGTGGTTTATTGGAGGTAAGAATTTCATGGACTTTCCTGCCCGGGCTGGCTTTGAACCACGATCCTCAGATCTCAGCCTCCTGAGTAGCTAGGATTACAGACGTGAGCCACCAGCACCCAGCCTGCTCTGATTATTTTTGAGAGTCTCCTTTTTCCTCCGCCAAGCCCCTTCTCCCCCCCAGGCTATCCTGGACTCTTTTATGTTTCCTGACAGAGCTAGGTAACAGGGACCCACCAGTTCTCCTTGCTGTTGGTTGAGGTGGTAGGGCCCTGAGTTCAGTCTCCACCACTTCCAAAACAACCCTATCTTGGCTAAAGATGGCAATATTAATTTTTTGAAGTTTTAGATATTTAACATAGCTGAAGTCTAAAAATGTTTTCAATAAAAGACCAACAAGAAAATAGTGCTAGGCGCTGGAGGCTCACACCTGTAATCCTAGCTACTCAGGAGGCTGAAATCTGAGGATCACAGTTCAAAGCCAGCTCTGGCAGGAAAGTCTATGAGATTTTTTTTTTTTTTTGGTCCGGTTGTGGGGCCTAACTCTGGGCCTGGGCGCTGTCCCTCAGCTCTTCAGCTCAAGGCTAGCGCTCTACCACTTGAGCCACAGCGCCACTTCCGGCTTTTTTCATTTTGCTTATGTGGTGCTGAGGAATCGAACCCAGGGCCTTATGCATGCGAGGCAAGTGCTCTACCACTGAGCCACCTTCCCAGCTCTATGAGATTTTTATCTCCGAATTAGCCAACAAAAATCCAGCAGTACAGCTGTGGCTTAAGTGACAGAGCACCAGTCTTGAATGGAAAAGCTAAGTTCAAGCCCTAGTACTGGCATGCACACATGTGCACCTGTGGACACCCACAAACTTACACAATCCACACAAAAATAGAATAGTTCAGACTTTATGGGCCTCACCACACCAGCTCAACTCTGCTTTTGTAGTATGAAAATAGCCACAGAGTTGTAAATAGGTGAGAATGACTGAGTTTCAATAAAACTTTACTGACAAGCAGATTTGCTATTGTCTGGTACACCTCAGTCTTGCTGAGCATAGCTGTGAGGTTCTGACTAGAATCTCAGGCAAGCCAAAACACCATCTCTTTCCCAGTACTTCTCTGTGCCTTTTTGCCAGGAAGCATCAAGATACTCCTTAGTTGATGCCTTTAAGCCTGCCATCACCTATTATTTTTCCTCTTACTGTTCTTCACTAGCCATTGAGTGTTCTCCCTTCTCTGTCCTTGACAATTAGCGCATATATTCTTTATATATTGTGGTCTATAGAAAGTAACAAATAACTACTTGTGAAGCTGAGTCAAGAATTCAGGGATGTTTTTCTCTTGAGAACCCTAATTGCCTTTTTTCTTGATTAAGTTTAACCCAAATGTGGACAACTGGACTGGAGTGGTTTCCCATAGTCACTGAGTCAACCACTTTGAAATGCTTTTAAGTTTATTTTTTTCCTTCCTTATTTTGGCAATGTGTAGTTGTAGTCACATCCCAGTATGCTTTTTGTTTTATCAGTTTGATGTAAAGATGAAAACCAAATTGTCCCTTCCTCAGACGGGAAGCCCCTGGTGAAAAGCCAGGGTGTATGTACCCTTTGGAAGGAAAGGGTGCAGTCCTCATGTTACCTCACTCACCAGCAGTGTATGAATACTGACTTTACAGATCAGCTTCATTGCTTCATATGACTTTGAGATTACATAGTTTCTTTGTGTGTGCATATATTTAGCTAAGTTTCTGAAATAATATTTTCTGTGGAAATATTGATAAATCAAAAACTGCTGTGAAATGGGCATTCTATCTACAAAGTCAGCCTGATTAATAATAACAAAATAGGTAGTTTTGTTCTCAAATGTCAGTTTGCAGTGAGATTAGTATTCCTCCACTGCCCCTTCGAACCGATGCTTCCTGCGGAGCAGAGCCTGACAAGCCATGTCTCTCTTCCCCCAGGAATGACAGCCAGCGCCGTTGCAGCTCTGATCCTCATGACATCCTCCATTGTGACTGTCGTGGGTTCTTTGTACCTGGCCTACATTCTGTACTTTGTGCTGAAGGAGTTTTGCATCATCTGCGTCACCACATATGTGCTGAACTTCATCCTTCTTATCATCAACTACAAACGACTAGTTTACTTGAATGAGGCCTGGAAACGGCAGCTGCAGCCCAAGCAGGACTGACGGCCTGAGAACTCTCACCGACTGACAGTCTGAAGTCCCTTTCCATTAAGTTTATTTTACAGCCGTTTTTTTTTTAATTATTATTATTCACAACAGACACTTTCCCTAAGAATCTCAAACTGATTTTTTAAAATACTATAAATTAGAAGGGGCCCTAGCTATTTTCTGTGTCAATCTTCATTTGAAATATGGATACAAAAAAGGATACACCGAGCCAATCAAAGACAAGCTTTAACTTTACTTTGAAGATGTTTCTGAGATAATAAAATGTAGTCCTATACCCCTTTCCTCAATTGTAAGGTGAGCAACCATTGCTAGTAATTCTTTAATGTGTATAAATTCTATTTCAGGTATAACAAATGTGATCATGACATGAAAATATTTTAGAATAGATACTGTATTAAATATTGCTATGTTTAC